AATTTTTTTTTTTAATTTAGACCAAATGGTTTTCAGGCTACTCCGGTACACCGGAGTAAACTCACCACTTTCCAGCGTTCTTTGACGACATGGCCAGGCTGTAGCAGGTCCTCGCTGGTCATAGTAATAGGAGAGCTGAGGTCTTCTTCGCCATTCTGGGTGCACCTGGGACACACAGGATATCCTCATTGGCCCACGCCGGTCTATTCCTGACATAGCCGTTCAGTCATTATTGGACACACGTGGGTTGTTTTCCGCCGTCAAACACATCTAGGAAATTTAATAAAATCAATAAACAGCCAAAAAAACCTAGCCCTGAACTGCTTATTGAATTTTTTTAAATTGTAAAGGCAGGGATGAACTATGTATTAGATCTAGGAGATAATAATTGAGACAATAACGTATTTTTTATAGAGAAAAAGAAGAAACACAAGTCTCTAGCGAATAGGGAAATTATCATTATCTTAACATAAAGAAGCTCTTCTCTCCGACCTGTGTTTCTTCTTCTATAGCACGAATGGGGAGATTATTGTTGTCATAATGTCCTTTTATTAAGGTGAAAACATCAGGCCTCCAGGGATAATTTTCTTTTTAAGAAACATTTTTTATTGAAATTTCAAGTTTTCGGGCATGAGAAAAGCTCTCTCTCTCTCTCTCGAGATTTAAATTTAAAATTTTAAGAAGAAAAAAACTTATCCCTGGAAGAGAGCCTGATGTTTTCATATTGATACAAGGGATTAAATAAAACATGCGATCATTCTGAAAAAAAAAAAAAACATTTCTGGTTTCTTTTTCTCTAGCTGTATATCTCACTAGTGTTTTGTGTTGTTTTTCTTGCTTCCCTCTTTCTCTTTCTTGTTTTTTTTTCTTTTTTTTTTTTTCTTTTTCTTCTGTCTATATCGTTGTTTCCTTTTCTCACTGCTTTGTTCTTATGCATACCTTTGGTGAATCCTGTATAGGGTCAGTGACCCTAAATAAAGGCTTTTTGTTGTTGTTGTTGTATATCTCACTAGTGACTTTCGTCCCACTCCTTCTTGGTGAATATCTTTATCTTAGAGTGATATGGTGGAGAACATTTCAAACATTTCCATTTATCACCGAAGAGGGCGTTTTTCGATGATTAAAATAAAATTGATCGTCTTCTCTAAGTGCAGTTTTAATCATTATTCTTCACACATGCTCCCAATAGACTTTACAGAACCCTTCTTTCCTCTTTACACCTGGAAAATACAGTAATCTTCTAAGAGAGACCATAGCCTGAAAACATGGTTAAAACCCGGTGGTCTCTTATCAGAGGTTCATGCCAGGCTAGACATAAGGAGCCTTTCAACCAAACACAGAATCTCCTATAAGAGATCTAAAAACTCCTAGAGACACCAGATTTAGCCATGTTTTTATACTATGGTCTCCCAGGAGAGAGACTCTACTGTATATGATAATGTAACACACAATTCCCCGCTCAGAAGTCCTCCTCTATGTGGCAGGCGGGAGAAGCAGTACAAGTAAGGGACTGTCCTGTAGGGGGAAGTACGGTGTTGTGAGCCCCGAGCCGCTACGGTAACCGTGAAGGCCTACAGGGAACTCTGAAATGTAGCTGACTAACGGGGCAATGGCAACCCCCTTTCCATGGAGAATTGGACAAGACACCACCACCAACACAAACTTTCTATAATTAGATGCACTAAAATCTAAGAAATGTCCACTATCTAAAGTGAATTAACCATATATACTGAATGTTAATATTGTTGTTTCAAATTTATTTATTTTTACATATCCTTGAATTTCTCACCACACATATGCGACCGATAAGATAAAAATTGAGTATAAAATACATATACATTGAGAATGAAATACAGAATTAGTACATATAAGGTACGTATACAGTAGAGATAAAGTTTGGAAGAGACTTCGCAGTAATTCATCATTCCAAGTAGACATTCTGTCTATACCTCTCTTTCGCCAACTTACCTTTAACACATAAAAATAGAAAAATAATTTTGAAAGAATGCAAAAATATATATACAGTTAAACCTGTCTATAGTGCCCCCTCTTGGGACTCACCAAAATAGGGTGCTTTAGAGAGGGGGTGCTATAGACAGGTCACTTTTAATGTAAATCGCATCATATTACGTATTTAAAATCGGGCGCTATAGAGAGGAAGGCGCTATTTAGAGGGGGCGCTATAGACAGGTTTAACTGTATTTAAAAAATCAGTTATAAAAAAAAAGGTACTTCCGGGACGCGAATCCATGTTATTATGGCGCGGGGCGTGTCAAGGCTAATTTATGAGATGATGTTTCATTTATTATGTAAGGCAGAAACTACGCGAAATAGAATCTACAAGATTGTCCCAAAAGTTCGTAAAAACTTGCAAAAAAAAAAAATTGGAATACCAATATTATTCGTCGTTATGTATGTCTTTATATTACGTATAGAGTAAATTGTATTATGAATTATTATGTATTCGCCGTAATAATATTATTAGCCAAGTAATAAGAAAAAACACGAACTTTTGGGACAACCTTATAATAAAATATTAAAAAAAAAAAAAAAAAATTATTTTTTTTTCTAATCTCTCTTGAAGATATAAAGAATGCCTGGCCGGCTCATTATAGTTCTTTCAAAATAAAAACCAGAAATTTTTATTTTACGACGTTTCGACAAAAAATATATTGTTCTCGTCTGAAAAAATAAATTATAACGCCTTGCTAAATGCTTCAATTTTTATATTATTCCTGAGATGAGAACAAAAGATTTTTGTCGAAATGTTGAGAAAATGAAAACAATTTCTAGCCGACACCTGTCTTTTATTTTCAAGAACTAAATGGTTTATATAGTTTGACGTAGCCAAATTAAGGATTCAATTGTTGATATCGAAGAAATAGTTGACCTCTTTTTAAAAATATTTTCTGATACATTTAAGGCAGATAGTTTTACCTAGATTAATGCTGATTTTTCCTAGTTTTGATTATGCCAATATAAAGATGTCAAACCAAGAAGAAGAATTAGGTAAGAAAGAAACCATTGTTGTGAGAAATCGGGAACTGGCAGTTAAGAAAGCGATAAAAGAAAAATGTTTGCGAACACTTATCAAAGGGATGCCAACCAAGAAACTAGCAATCCAAGAAATCTGTCCTGTACTTTCAAGAAAGTTCGGTGGTATTGGTAATGTCAATCAAGAAGGAAATCAAGGGCCCTTCCAGCGCGCTCTTCGAAATCAAATAGCAAGAAAGAAAAATTCCGACGAAAGACAGTCTTCGAAAGGACAGCCGTTGAGGAAATGGAAAAACAATTGAAGAATGTCGGGTATAAGCCCTATGTAGAGGTCCTCGAAATCAAATAGCAAGAAAGAATAATCCCAACGAAAGACAGTCTTACAAAGGGCAGCCATTGAGGAAATTGAGAAGCAATTAATGAATGTCGGGTGTAGCCCTAAGGGGAAGGTCCTCGAAATCAAATAGCAAGAAATAAAAATTCCGACGAACGATAGTCTTACAAAGGCCAGCCATTGAGGAAATGGAAAAACAATTGAAGAATGTCGGGTATAAGCCCTATGTAGAAGGTCCTTGAAATCAAATAGCAAGAAAGAAAAATTCCAACGAAAGACAATCTTACAAAGGCCAGCCGTTGAGGAGATGGAGAAGCAATTGATGAAAGTCGAGTGTACCCCTATGTAGGTAATCCTCGAAATCAAATAACAAGAAGGAACTCTCAACTGTAGGTAGCCCTTCGAAGGTGCAGTCGTTGAAAAATAATGGCGGTTCTAGAAATCAAGTAGCAAAAATCAATTCGAAAGAAGGTCAGATTTCAAATCTATAATTTACATCTCAAGGTATATATCTTATATCTACCTTAATTGCCCGCTGATTGGTTTCCTAGTATCACGTGACATGAACAGCAGTAGCAGCCAATCAGCGGTTCCACACATCGAGGAGATAACAAAACGACTCCCGAGAATTTATTCTGGTAATACCTCTTTATTTATTTTTAAAATTTTATATGTAACTCTGTTTTTTAAATGCAGGCTTATGTAATCTCTCATAAATCATAATGACATTAGATTTTTTCAATCACTACATTATAAAAGGATCTGTGACGCTGAAAAATGATTCTTCCTGTAAGGTGGAACTTTAGCGACGTGAGAATAGGCCGAATACAACGACGCTGTTTTAGGTATCTACTCTCATTGACAAAACTTAAGGAAGTTGTACCTTTTAGCATGTGTATCTGGATTCAGACAATAACTCTGAAAGATATACTCATGGACGAAACTTAAGGAAGTTGTACCTTTTAGCATGTATATCTGGATTCAGACAATAACTCTGAAAGATATTACAGTGATCTTCATTGAAGACACACGAGATAACCGAGTGTGAACAAAATTTCCTGTCTTCCACTTCCTTAAGTTTTGTCCACGAGTGTAACTCGTGTGGAACTATCGCTTCTATGTTAAGTCAATTCCGACGGACTAGTGTTCTAATTTATTATAACAATCTCAAAGTAAATTTAAACTAAATAAAAATATATTTATTAGGCTAACCCATGTAGGTTCCCCTGAAATACACAAATGCCGCCAACACTATCCGTTAAGGCAAATTCGAAAATAAATAAAAACGAGTGAAACTTATCAGATGCTTTAAAATTGATTTTAAAATAATATATTTTATATTTTTAAATATAATATTTTAATTTACAATGCTTCATGTTTTTTAAGTTTTATAACGTACCATGAAAACTTAAGTTAACCTCTAATAAATAAATAAGTTATCTCTATATATATAAAAGTCAATGTCTGTCTGTCTGTTTCGCGATAAACTCAAAAACTACTGAACCAATTGGTACCAAATTTTGCATGTCGCTTTTTATAAACCTGAGGAAAATTTTCGGCTGCATTTTGATTAGTATTTTTGGCTATTTCTTTTTTTCATGTGAAGAACTTTTTTTTTACGCGGACTAATCCGGAATGGAATGAATACCTAAATATGGCCATTTTTTTTAAAGCATCGGTGGTTCAGTGGTAGAATGCTCGCCTGCCACGCGGGCGGCCAGGGTTCGATTCCCGATTCGCAGTAGTTCACTAATTCAAACCAAAATTTCCATACATAGGTAAAAAAATACGGGGAAGACGATAGGCTATTTTAAAAAATATATAAATCAATTATTAAAACTATATATTATTAGTCAGAAAATGAAGATGACGATATTGCTGTATCATGTAAGATTACACAGGTCTAAAAAAAAACTTTTTTTTTTTGCACAAGAGAACCTGATGGTGTTTCTAGTGTAACTTTTCATGCTGAACTCAAAAATCTAATCAGAAATTTCCCATCACCCATGGTTTTTGCCTGATGGTCATTTTTTAGTATTGGAATAAATACAGTAATAAATGCAACTAATGTTACGTAAGCATTTTTTAAGTTACATCATTAACTAAGCTAGCGCTTTATTTTTGACAAGAAGAGTTAGTATGTGGAGCCAAAAGCTTTATTTTATTTGTTATTAATTAAATGTTACTCTTTAAGAATCATAAATATTAATTTAAATAACAAATTATTGAAATTTTAATTGAATATATATAATTTATTATTATATAATATTATAATCTGTTTTGCTTTCAACTCAAAAATAACGACAAGCTCTGTAATGCTATTTGCTCATTAACACTTTTAATATATATATTTAAATTGAACCTAACGATTTGTTTAATAGATTTGCAGCAGAAGTGACAGGTAAATTTGAAGTGATTAGTTTATTCTTCTCTATCGATTTGCTTTTATAAATCGTCTGCACTAGACTGTGTCAATATGCCGAGGCGTTGCATTAATATTCCTGATATTTTCTGTTATATTTGTGGGGAATTAACTTTCAAAGTTCAAAGGCGAAACTTTACACCGCTCATCAAAAAGTGCTATCAACTTTATTTTGGCGTTAAAGTCGGTGACCAAGATAAAACTTGGGCTCCTCACCATTGTTGTGTAATTTGTGTTCAACATCTTACAGGGTGGATTAAAGGTGAACGTCATATGCCATTTGCGGTTCCAATGATATGGAGGGAACCTAAAGACCATTCTTCAGACTGTTATTTTTGTTTGACAAAGACTACAGGTATTACATCTGTGGCGACCGCACTTTGCTTCAGCGAAGTGGGACAAAGCTTCAAAACACATACGGGCAGAAGCTTGGCGAGTACGTGTTGGGAGAACACTTCACTACGCATGCGCGGGCGTCATCTAGAACTTTCTAGCGGCTGGCTTCTTCCGACACACTTGATCTGTACTGACGCGGTAAACAAGAAGGCTTAAGCTGGCGGCCGTTATTTCAACCGTTGTTTCTTTTCTCTTTATAATGACTTGCTTTAAATAAATTAATTTTGATTATAATTTTATCAGCAGCCTTTCCACAAGCCACACCAGCACTTCACATCAACAACCATACTACACATCCAAATCAAGACATACAGTTGAATATCCAGATTTGCCTTCTGCTATGAGACCGGTTCCTCATAGTGATATTTTACCTGTTCCACAGCCTCCTGAAAATGTAATATTTAGTGACGATGATTCAGATAGACGAGAGCAACAGTGGGATGACACAAATTTTGAAGCAGGTGCTTTATCTGAACCTCATTTATTAACCCAAGGAGATTTGAACGACCTCGTACGTGATTTAGATTTATCCAAAAAACAGAGTGAACTTTTAGGCTCTAGGTTAAAAGGCTGGAATCTGCTGCATAAAGGCACAAAAGTATGCTTTTTTCGCAAGCGTCAAGATGAATTTCAAGACTTCTATTCACAAGAGAATGATTTAGTATATTGCAATGATGTTGTTAGTCTAATGGAAGCGCTTGGTCATGACCATGATACAGAAGAGTGGCGTTTATTCATTGATTCTTCAAAAATTAGTATGAAAGCTGTTCTCCTTCACAATGGAAATAAGTTCCCATCAGTGCCAATAGCACATGCATCCAACATGAAAGAGACTTACGAAAACATGAAACTGCTTTTGAAATAGATAGAATATGAAAGATACGGTTGGAAAATATGCAGCGATTTGAAAGTCGTTGCTCTCTTGCGTGGATTACAGCTTGGATATACAAAATTTTGTTGTTTTCTGTGTGAGTGGGATAGCAGGGATAGGGAAAGGCATTACATTAAAAAAATCTGGCCAAACCGTAAAATCTTTACTCCAGGATATAAAAATATTGCAAATCTACCCCTGATCGATTCAGAAAATATTTATTTACCACCATTACATATTAAACTGGGATTAATGAAGAACTTTGTCAAGGCAATGGATCGAAATGCCAGTGGATTTGCCTACCTAAAACAAAAATTTTCTAGTATAAGTGAAGCGAAGATTAAAGAAGGCATTTTCGTTGGACCTCAGATTCGAGAATTGCAGCAGGATGGAAATTTTCAAAATAGTTTGAATGAAGTTGAAGCAGCAGCATGGAATTCCTTTAGAAACGTTTGCAAAAACTTCTTAGGAAGTGTCAAGGTTGAAAATTACCGAGACATAGTTAATGATCTGTTGCTTTCCTACAAGGCACTGGGATGTAACATGTCCCTCAAGATCCATTTCCTGCATTCACATCTAGATTTCTTTCCAGACAATCTTGGCGCAGTTAGCGATGAGCATGGTGAGAGGTTTCATCAAGATATATCAAGCATGGAGAAGCGGTACCAAGGTAAATGGAGTCCCGCTATGCTTGCCGACTACTGCTGGACACTCAAGAGGGATCTACCACAATCAAATTATAGATGAAACTCCACTGTCACTGCTTTTCAATAAATAAATATGTTTCGTTCATATATGCCTATATATTAACAATATTTCCAAATTTCAAGTAGGTGTATCTCAGAAATATTGCGTAATAGAAAAAAACTAATGGTATATTTGGATTTAGGACATGTAGATAAGATGCTATTTCTTTGTGGACAAAGAAAAATATTTTTTGATAAATCAGTGTAATGTAATAAGGGTTATGCAAAACTGCTTACGTAACATTGTTTGCATTTTTTACTGTATTTATCCCAATACTAAAAAAAGACCGTCACGCAAAAACCATAGGTGATGGAAAATTTCTGATTAGATTTTTGAGTTCAGCATGAAAAGTTACACTAGAAACATAATCAGGTTCTCTTGTGCAAAAATCTTGTTGACCAGTGTTATCAGATACAAAATTATATCGGGAAAAATTCCAAAAAGCAGAGACCACGGGTGAAACCAGCTCATTATTTTGTACGCAGGAACAAAATTCTAACAGAAAAACATTCATTTGAGCAGCAAACAAAAGCCAGATCATCTTTCTATAAAAATATCGCTTCTCAGACACAAAGTTTGGAGCGGGACGTTTCACAAGAGTGACATCCACGCCGCCAATTTATAATTGTAACGAATAGTATTTAAATAAAAACATTTAATCGGGTAAAACCCGGGCGTTGCCCGGGTCATTCGGCTATATCTATCTATCTATCTATATATATAAAAATGAATGTTTGTATGTTTGTCTGTTGGTTGGTCTGTATGTCCGGTATACAAATTCGCAGTAGTTCACTAATACAAACCAAAATTTCCATACATAGGTAAAAAAAAACGAGGATGACGATAGGCTATTTTAAAAAATATATAAATCAATTATTAAAACTATATATTCAAATTATTCTAAATAGCTCACGAGCAGCGCCCTTTAGAACGCGGTGGATCTGATGGCGGGGCGCGCCCATTGGCCGCCTGCGAGCACGTGGCTTCCCTGTGCGCGCGCATGCGCCGGGAAGCCACTTGCTCGCCGGCAGCCGACGGGAGCAGTCACTTGCTCGCCGGGAGTCAACGGGCGCAGACATTTACTCGCTGCCAGCCAACGGGCACATGTTTAATGTGTTTGAATTATACATTTAATCATGTAAACCCGGGCGTTGCCCGGGTCATTCGTCTAGTTAAAATATAAATAGAGAGAGATTTATAACTTAGGTTCCTGGAGCGCTGAATTAATTTAGTTTCCGAAGTTTCTCAGTGACTCTCTGTCCTCTCCTCAGGGGAATGGTGGACAGCGAGTGACTGAAATGTCGGGAACTAAATCAATAATTGGTTGATGTAGTCATATCTCTTTCCAAACAAACTTCCAACCTATATTTAAAGTAACATTTAAAATACAATATAACGCGGCTGATGATTGTAAAACGAAAATTAAAATTATACCGCGAATGTTTCTTTTAAAAATCGAAATTTATTTTCAAAGAGGGGTGTGGGTTCGATTCCCGCCCCTGGACACTTTTTATTTTTCCGTTCTCCATTACTCTTCATGTTTCACCTTTCCATACCTCATCCTCAAAGTTAGAAACGTCGCTATTTCTCTTTGAAAATAAATTTCGATTTTTAAAAGAAACATTCGCGGTATAATTTTAATTTACGTTTTACAAACTTCCAACCAACAAACATTCTTCAAAATTTAATATTTTGGTTGTAGTGGTGTCTTGTCCATGGAGCAGATCAGATCGGTCCATGCACCCTGATCACAATACTGGCCAACTGAGGTGGTGGTGGTGTCTTGTCCATGGAGCAGATCAGATCGGTCCATGCACCCTGATCACAATACCGGCCAACTGAGGTGGTGGTGGTGTCTTGTCCATGGATCAGATGAGATAGGTCCGTGCACCCTGATCACAATACCGGCCAACCGAGGTGCCTTGTCCGTATGGATGTCCTCTTCTGGATTGATGTCTGCCATAAAGAGGGCTGCAAGGATAGCCGGGCAACTGTATATATGGTCAGGAGTGAGTTGGGTCTTGTAATAGTTATTGCAGTTCCTGTAGGATCTAGTCATGTCTGGGTTTATCTTCATTCCTTTAAAATTTCCAGTTATATTTTCTTGAAAATGTTGTTGTTAATTCTATTTGTAATAATATTTTGGTTGGTATAGAGAGACACGAGTGACAGGCCAATACTGGCGGGCCAAAAATTGTCTACGATGAAAATATTCCTGAATTTATCGGTCGTATATACGACGTTTTTATATATATACTAGCGGATGTGCCCGGCTTCGCCCGGGTTTTACCCGAGTAAAAGTTTGTCTAGCGAACATTTGTTAAAACAATTCTCTAAAAACTTATTTAAAAAAAAAGATATATTTTGATAATTTGAAACTCGTAAATTTGAATCTCTCGATAAAGTGAACATTTTTTCCCGGTCCCTGTGTGCCGTGTCATCCTGAATTTTGTCTTTCCTAATTTTCTACATTAGAAAATCATAGTTTTATCTAGTGAACATTTTTTCCCGTGTCACATTGCCTTTATTCTTCATTGTTGGATTTTTATATTATATTTACTCTTCATTGTTGGCTTTTTATCTTAAATTTATTCTTCATTGTTGGCTCTTTATATTACATTTACTCTTTATTGTTGGCTTTTTATCTTACATTCATTCTTCATTGTTGGCTTTTTATATCATATTTACTCTTCATTGTTGGCTTTTTATATTATATTCTGACCAAAATCTATCTGTGAACTTCACACAGTGAACTTCACACAGACAGAATAAGGCAATTATATAAGTAGATTTACTCTTCTTTGTTGGCTTTTTATCTTACATTCATTCTTCATTGTTGGCTTTTTATATTACATTTACTATTCATTGTTGGCTTTTTATCTTACATTCACTCTTCATTGTTGGCTTTTTATCTTACATTCATTCTTCATTGTTGGCTTTTTATATTACATTTACTCTTCATTGTTGGCTTTTTATCTTACATTCACTCTTCATTGTTGGCTTTTTATATTATATTTTTAGATTGAGATTATGAGCTAGTATGTAAAAATATTAACTCTGTTGATTTTTAATTTTGTATTTATATATAAATAAAATTAACTCTGTTGATTTTTTTGTATTTAATCGATAACAGCGAAGTTACGCATGTTAATGTTAGGGAAAAATATTTTGATGTTAAGCAAAACCTGCTCCATCTCGTTTTACATAAATGTTGAAAATTTGGTCGAAATTGATGCATTGTAACGAAAGTTTTTAGTGATGTACTCTTATGAAATTTGCATTTTATTAATATAGATTTCTGTCGTCTCTCCGTTTGGAGTGGTTCCATTCGAGCTGATTATTCACAAGTAACCGGCGAGGTGACCGGCCATCCAGACCTCGATGGGTGATGAGTTCCTAACTCAGGAATTCGTCAATCCCTGACGAAATGAGAGCTTGAAGTTGAAAGAGAAAGCCTGCTCTATTTGAGGGCTGCAAGGATGGTCGGGCAACTGTATATATGGTCCGGAGTGAGTTGGGTGTTGTGACAGTTATTGTAGTTCCTGTAGGATCTAGTCACGTCTAAGTGAATAGTATTACTTTTATAGTTGAACAGAGAGGCTTTCTAGAGTTATTTTTTTCAATTTGTACATTTACAGTATATTTTGAAATTCAAGTTAAATTTTAGCTTGAAATCCAAGATAACGCCAAGATATTTGGCATGGCCAGTATAGTTAAGTATGGTTTGAGTTTACTTTCAAATTGGTTCGCGGTTTGAATTTTTACTATCTCGTGGATAGAATACATTAACTAGGGTCTTGTGAGGTTTTATTACTAGCTTCCACACATTGTTTGTATGATTCAATTATGGTGTTTGAATAATACACGAAGTGGTAGTCAATGAGTCAATGGACTTTGATAATATTGCAGCGTCATCTGAGAAAAGCTTGATTTAGCTATTTGAGAATGTAATGGCATTATTGAATAAGTAGGGTCCGCGAGGATAGAGCATTGTGGCACTCCATTTGTGTTGGTTTTATTTTGATTATGAAATATACTTAAGAAGGCTATATCCTGTAAGCAATTAATCTCTCTGAAATATATTTTCAAAAATTTGTTTTTCACACACAAAGAATGTAATTAAAAATAAAAAAGGCATCTCCTGACAACGAGCATAAGTATTTAAAATATGTAAATAATAATGTATATAAAAAAAATAGTATTTATCATTAATTTGTTAATGTTATACTCCTGTTGAAGGACTGAAAAGTCCGAAAGCTAGAAAATAAAAAGTTACACAAGAAAAAAAATTAATCTCTCTAAAAGATCGATCAAAGTCATGGAAAATTTTCTAAGTTTTGTTATTAGGCGACCTTTTCTATACTTTATCAAATGTTTTAGTACGGTCTGGAAAACATCACTCTCTGCTTCCTTGTGTATTCTTCTTCTTTGTTTATATGGTCTATTACGGTGATGAGTTGATGATGTCCCTTTCTGAATCCAAATTGCTGCCGAATTAGAAAGACGAGTGAGTCCATATAGTAACAAATCTCTCGTAAATCTGCCCAATGGTGAATGACTCAGGTGATTTACCAGGGGGAAGTGAAACGTAGGTTGATGTGATAGAAAGTTTTATTTACCTATTTTGACATTCTCTCAAAGTGGTTTTGATAAAGACGATTGAGAATTGCTGTAACGTCTACGGGTAAATAAAACCAATAAGGTATGCTTGATGTGAAATATCATACGGCCAACCAGACTTTCTCTTCAATGCCCTACATATGTATCATCAAACATGTGGTGGACAACTAACGACCTTGTATAATAGACAGCAATGTAACAACGTAAACCCACCTACCCACCTGAGACTACAGATTGTTTTTACCGACGCATTTGTTCCTAAGTCCATTTGGCTCGTTCAGCCAACATTCTTGGTTTCAATTCTTGACGATATAAGCCTGAAGAATCCATTCTCTAAAAAAAAAAATCCATATAAATAAAACGCATTAACAAACCCTATCATAACAAAATTTTAAGTAGGCATTATAGGCGTTCTTGTGTATTAATGATAGAAAATGTACTTAAAGACACATAAGAGAGAGCCGTATTGATGTAAATGGTAATTTCTATAAAAGACTAAGTCCATGTTTGACTGGGAGTAACAAAGGTTTATATAAATGTTAATATGTGGATATTTATATGAAGGAGACTTGGCAATAGAATTGATTTTGGGGGAACAAACGTAAATAGTTTTCATTTTATAGACCAATTATCTTTTTATATGTTTAAAAATACGATTTTATGATATCCAACATCTCATCCCAGCCTTACTTAAAATAGGTTTGATTCAAAAATGAGTCACGTAACCCCACCTGTGTGTTAGCAAGCATACAGACAAATCACTTTGGAACTTACAAGAAGATGTGCTAATCACTAAGGATTTAACCAACTATATGTTAGATAGTCTCCATACAGTGTGGCTATTCTACAGCCATATGTAAAATTGTCACTTTACTCTTTTCTCTCCTTTATTGTCAGAGCGGGGGGGGTGCAAACATCTACCGCAGCTGTACATCATACAAGGTCGTTAGTTGTCCACCACATGTGTGTTCGATGATACATATGTAGGGTATTGAAGAAAGTCTGGGGTAGTTGGCCGTATGGTATTTCACATCAAGCATACCTTATTGGTTTTATTTACCCGTAGACGTTACAGCAGTTCCCAATCGTCTTTATCAAAACCACTTTGGGAGAATGTCAAAAAAAAAAAAAAATTGAAGCCGACAGAGAGGCAGTCGCCCAAATAGGTAAATAAAACTTTCTATCACATCGACCTACGTTTTACTTCCCCCTGGTGAATCACCTGAGTCCACCAGACATGATCTACTCAGGTTGTTGATTCGTGGGTTTCAATCCCCATCCTGTTAATGCAGGATTTTATCTCCAAAGTGGAAAAACTAGCCCATCCTGTCGTTAAGTAATAGGCACTTTCTCCTAACCTTAATAGAGAGGTAAAATCTCTAACGACACGACACCATAAACATATTTCTATTACAGAGTTAAAGTGCCCCTGCATATATTCAGAACTTTTTATTCTATAGTTCTTTTTGTAAGAACGTATAGGGAGCGTTTCTCCAACGGAAGAGAACAGCATTTACAAATCCTAATTTGCCTGTGGAACAAAACACGACAAGGTAGAAATAAAATGTATTCTACGGTATTTGAGAGAAGTGCTGGCAGCGACCAGATCGATGGCATACAGGGCATGGTAGGTACTGGATCTTACCAGGTTTCTAGAGTTGAGTTGAACGCATCATTCAGTAGGTTATTATTTTGGTGTTTTACTTGATTGTCCTACGTAAGGATTGATATTGGAGGAACACCCACCACTGGGGAAGTACCACAATGGTTTGAAAGCAGTCATGGCCGAGTGGTTAAGGCGATAGACTAGAAATCTATTGGGATCTTCCAGCACAGGTTCGGATCCTGTCGACTGCAGTTTTTTAGGGGGTCGGTGGAAGGGTGGTCTTAACCGTTGGTTTTCAACCGCTACGACGCGGGATCGAATCCGCATTGAGCACTTTTTTCTAATAAAAAAAATGCTCCAATAGCCCCCGATTCTTGCAAAAGTCCAACCCCACCAGCGAGTGCAAGTAACCAAACGGGGCTCTGGCATATTTATAAGTGCAAAGTCGAACTGCTTTTCATATGTTTAAATATGTGGTGCACTTACAGTAAAAGCAGTCGCCAACTTCTACCCACCATGATTACCATGGCCTGTACCACGTGTACTAGGGATAATTTTAAAAAAGCAATGGTATGAAGGCAGACAGTATTTGTTAGGGATTGATATAAAGAGAGAGAGTTCTGTCTGAACACTGTAGACGTGGCTGACGATGGAGAGAGCCACGTTGGATGAGGCCATTACTTGGATGTAGACGAATGCCATATTTTATTGAGTCATACAACCTTGTAGGCCGACGGCGTGAAGGAATGACGCCGTCTGTCTGCCTGCCTGCGCCAACCAGAAGAAGCCACTATATTTGCATAACTACACCCATCCATAATGGCCATCACAGCGCCTGTTTTATCCTAGGGTTGCATGCAAACTTTAATAACGACATGTGTTGACCATCGCCTACGGTGACAGTGGTGGCCGAATCATGCACGCCACCGAACATCTTACAATCGGGAATGTAGGTACCCGACCCGCCTTAGTTTATTTATCAAAGAGGAGCTATGCCATCTCCCTGTCGGCTAAGTGTGTAATCCCATCCAAGCGAAACCAGACGTTCCAATATGTAAACAAGTCTTGTGAAAACGTTGGGCCAGTTTGTGGCCTCTTCAAGCTGCGATTTCCTTGGCAGAGAATGGGGCGGCATGACTACGTATCCTAAAACCTGTCATCGTATGCAAACTCCACATGGTAATGTCCTCGTTGTTAAAAGGTTCAACCAACTCCCGAGTATACAAGTAGGCAAACTGTCATCGAATGCAAGCTCTACGTAGCAATGATCTCTTATGTTCAAAGGTCTAACAAAATTCCAGATATACAAGTATGCAAAATATCATTGTATGCAAACTCCACATGGTAATGTCCTCTGTTGTTCAAAGGTCTAACCAAATTCCAGATATACAAGTATGCAAACTGTCATCGTATGTAAACTTCACATGGTAATGTCCTCTGTTGTTCAAAGGTCTAACCAAATTCCAGATATACAAGTATGCAAACTGTCATCGTATGTAAACTTCACATGGTAATGTCCTCTGTTGTTCAAAGGTCTAACCAAAATCCACATATACAAATATGCAAACTGTCATTGTATGCAAACTCCACGTGGTAATGTCCTCTGTTGTTCAAAGGTCTAACCAAAATCCAGATATACAAGTATGCAAACTGTCATTGTATGCAAACTCCACGTGGTAATGTCCTCTGTTGTTCAAAGGTCTAACCAAAATCCACATATACAAGTATGCAAACTGTCATTGTATGCAAACTCCACGTGGTATTGTCCTCTGTTTTTCAAAGTTTGAACCAAAATCCAGGTATACAAGTAATCTAGCAACATTGACTCCAGATGGTGATTCTGTGACCAACACACTCGGTGTAATCGTTTTGGTTTTGGTTTCCATATAAATCGAATTGTGTGCCGTCGCTATTCTTAGTTCTTAAACCTTTTTTTCCATTTTGGCAAAACAAACTATTTCAGGAGGCCACTTTCAAAAGATAATATTCTTCTCTGTTATTTTCATTATTAAACAATCCACAGGCTTCTAACCAAGATAAATATTTATCTCTATCATATAATACTTATTAATATATTTAAAATATTATCACATGTGCATATATTTCTTTATATGAATTCTAAAAAGGATATGAATTCTTATATTGAATGTCCTTTTGAAAATAATATATTTAAAAATGTGTTCTGATTCACAACATCTCAAGAAATTGACAGCTTTGTAAAATCGATTGTAAGACATTATTTAAATTTACCCAATAAAAGCTTTCAAAATAATTACATTGTAATCGTGTGTGAGAGTGGAAGGATATAAGATAGCTGTCAATATATATTGAGTAAAATTATGTGTGATTAATAACTTTATAATATCGATTTTTGAGCGTTTAAGTAGATTTCAAAATACGAGAGCTCTCCTCAATATTTTCACAAATACTTTTACCATTTAGCTTTAGAAAGACTGGCTGTGTGTAGTTCTAGATATAATATTAACCATTTAAATAAATTTTACAAAATTGCATTTTAAGGTAATTTCCTTTTTCGGGGGGGATTGTTTGTAGGTACTTTAAATATGAATTATTATTTTTTAAATGTATTTATTAATCAAAAACCAAGCGCGATATTGAAATATTTGCGTCTATTACAAAGGAAACAAACAAAACAACAAACCAATTAGAACTTAGAATTAAATATTTACAAATTTACATGTATTAATCGACAGAGTTCATAAAATTTATATAGACAAAGTGGCTGATGTAAGATAGTTAAATCATTTAGATCAGGGAACAAACGATGTCTCACTTCTGCAAAATTCGGACAGTCATAGATAAGGTGAAGATCAGTTTGTTCAATTTCTCCGCAGGAACAATTTAGTGTTTCTGATAGACCTCTTTTATGTAAGTATTTCTGGAATTCTCCGTGTGATGTGACAAATTGAGTGATTATTAGGGAATGACAAAAAATCCACCAATGTCTCTCTGAAAAAGAGGAAACTTAGATCATTAAAAATCTATAAAAGGACACACTATTTGTTCTAGCTATATATACTTTTTGTTTATTTACAGAAATAAGATGTTTGTCTGTTGATGACTTCTATTTTAACTTGGGAGATCCAATTAGGAATTACCCATTTAGATTTTTTGAATGATTGTAAATGACTTCAAGGTGTTAGAAATACTTCAAGTTTCTATCTTGAATCCCATTTATTTTTGTTTTACTTTGGAAAATCTATATAAACATGATTTTATGTGACTCTTAAATAATGAGGGGGGGAATAGATGACAGGATATCATGATATATATAATTGAGAGAGAGAGAGAGAGAGTGGCATTAGACCTAAATCTAAAACATACAATCGCACAACCTTGCTTTATTTTTCTTTTAGCTTGGGTTAAGTTAAAAATTCAAGACTGGCTGGTTTAAGACTGGGTATCATTCTAGACCCGCTTGTTAAACAACCATGTTGTGTTTTTGAATCTAAAAAAAATTGAAATCATGGGTTTTTGAATCTAAAAATTTTTGAAACCATGGGTTTTTGAATCTGAAATTTTTGAAACTATGGGTTTTTGAATCTAAGATTTTTTAAAACTATGGGTTTTTGAATCTAAAAATTTTTGAAACCATGGGTTTTTGAATCTAAAATTTTTGAAATTATGGGTTTTTGAATCTGAAAATAATAAATTGCATTTGTCATTCCGAGATTTGTCTTTCCTTTATTTTCACACACACGTGGAAATATTATTATTATAAAAATAACAAATTCGAGTCAATGAAAATGGAAAAGAAACAAACAGCTTCAAGATTGTACCAAAAAGAAACTAGAAAACAAAGTACAAGTACTTGTATTGTGCAAGATAGCAGCAGCAGATATTGGAGGTACAAAGATGGCGAATTAAGACGGAAGAACAAAGAGAACTACAGTATAAGTTATAAATTTAGTATTAAGCTTATTGTTTTATCGCTGCATTATAGGAATCTTCTTATTGTGTAATGGAATAGTTTAGAGGTGTGAAAGATAATTGTTAGATTTTATTACATAGACACATTTTTAGGTTCAATTATTCTTAAAATTTCTGTCACATATGTGCGTTTGGTGGCAAATACTCTATACCAGGGCTCGGCAAACTGCGGCTCTTTGGAATGTGAAGCTGCGGCTCTTTATATAGTTCCATATGTAAATATTTACTTATGCGAGAATATACTATTTATTGTTGGCAATAAAAACATTTTGTGGCTCTTTAAAAAACTTTTAAATTTTGTAAATTGTAATTTTTTACTCTTCTGACGCAAAAGATTGCCGACCCATGCTCTTAAACTTATTTATAGCTTAATTCGATACTTTAATAAGGCTTACAATTAACTTTATTGACATCATGAAACGCGATATCCCAAACTCAGGGATATTTGCGTCAATACCTTTCATTGCATCACAGCAATTCGGCTATATACAATCCTGTTCAATTCATTATTTTACATAAATTAACTAAAGAAAATTGTCCAAAGAGAAAAACAAACAACAAAGTAAAACACAGAGCAAGCATCGCAGTTCTTTTTTTTTTCTCTAAGATTCCTTCTCTTTTTTTCCGATTCAAAAGAAAGTTGTATATGTATTTACAAAATTGATCGAAATTTTTATACTTTTCTTTTTTGTCTACAAATTCATCAAGCTGTCCAATACGACCAAATCTATTTTCCCTAAAATCCCGGAAAATTGGGCACTCCAGAAGTAGATGTCTCGCGTCTTGAATTTCACCTCCGCAGAAGCATCCTGGTTCCTTCACCGCGCCGATAGTTGCCAAAAATTTCCCAAAATTGGTACCAAATTTTGCATGTCGCTTTTTATAAACCTGAGGAAAATTTTCGGCTACATTTTGATTAGTATTTTTGGCTATTTCTTTTTTTCATTTGAAGAACTTTTTTTTTTACGCGGAGTAAATACGAGGCGAAGTAACAACACCAGGCCAATTAAGCGATCAATGAGCGTTCTGCTTTTTTTTTTTTTTCAAGTTGCTTGCGTACTTTTTTTTGAAACACCTTTTTATACGAATGTTACTTTTTTTTACTAAAGTATTGAGTATTGAGAGAGAAATTTATATTACTATGTTACGGTAAGTGCACACAATGCTATTTAAAAAAAAAACTTTATACAAAATTAGCGTTACTGTATGTAAATAATGGCTTTCGTATTTTTTAATTAATTTTTGTTCTGGTATTTTTAAAAGTATTTTTTTAAATCGTTTAAAATGCAGTCGCAGTCAT